CTGATATCATTTTGCCACTGGAATAGTCTGAAAATGGTTGCAGGCTATATGATCTTGAGTGTATATATGGATATGCGTGTGCTTTCTTCTTGCATATTAGGAATTTCACTGAAGTCAGCATATCTACTCATGTGCAGAACATAACAGCTGTAAGATCAAGGCCTATATTTTTAATTTTCTCATTAATTAGTTTCCCTGTTATCCTAGAAGGACCTTCACATCATTAGTATGATTACCGTGGCAATATTTTTGTGCTGCAAAAAAGATAGTTCAAAACTGGCATCCCTTATCTGCCAGATCTTGGTTTGCATTTGTATTTATCACAGAAGCATGACCCAGCTTGGAGAGAAATTCAAAGGCCAGACGATGGGAGAGATGCATGGTTGCTGGCCAACCCGAGAACGCACCCAGACGTGCATGGCAAGTGCCATGAGGGGATATAACAGGGTCAAACCTGCTGCTCGGGGATGTGGTACGTACACAGATACGTCAGAGTGGCAAACAGGGTGTGAGCTGAGGCGTTGAGCCTCTGTCTTTTTTATTTCTACTCCAGGAAGGAAGAGGTGGTTTAAAGGAACCTTATTCTGTTGACACGCTATGGATGATCTAAGTAGAGTACGCTTTCTCAGTAGTGAAAACAATTTTATTATTAATAACATCTATGTTGGAGAGGTAGAAGTAGACTGGTTTATACTGGTTATGTAGAATTTCTTCCTTTAACTAAAAGTATGTTACCTGCAATTCTGTTTTCTTCTGAAAAATGTCTTTTTTTGCACCAATTTTTGAGACGTTGACTTTAGCCTCAGCTCCGAGTACTTCGCTGACTGCTTGTGAAGAAAGGTACTGCTGAGGAGAGGAGTAGGTGTATGAGTGAACCTGGCACTCACTCAGCTCTGAAATGGGAAGAGCCAAGAGGCCAGCAGGCTATTAATATTTTTGTCTTGCCATGTTTGTCGCAAGAACAGTGAAAGGTGTAAAAAGCCATGTGCTTCCAGGCTCTCGCAGAGAAAATGGGAAGAATACTAAAACCTGCTCTGGTGCTGCTGCTGAGAATTTGTCCTCTGGACTTTCGTAGGGATTTTGCCCCAGCTCTCTCCAACCTGACTGCCAACTTATTATTTATCATTTAATCTGCTTTGTTTTGGGGCTGCTACTGCAGCTGGCATATCACTGTGCATGCTAAATACTTCTCCTTAACATAAAGTGGGCAGGCACTTGCAGAGTATCTGGTTTTCTAGTTCAGTTAGAAGGGCTGCTTGCTCTGCCAGTTTGCTGAGTGTGCTGACTGATCACTGTTTAGCCTGTTTTCTACCAAATATAAATGAGGGTATATATCTTGAGGGTGGGGGGGCATTTCTTGCTTATCCCAAAGAAAAAGACCAAGAGGAGAGAGCAAGCACCGATCAGGTGGTAGACAGCTTGGCAAGGGAAAGCAAAATATATGGCCAGCAGTAGGTATTTTAGTGTCTGATGTGCTTATTTTGTTTGTATGGTGCTACTGTAATTCTCTAACTCTTTTTTTTTAACTGACTACCATGCCAGGATAAAGAAACAGATGTTCCCATTTGTCTTTTGATGTGGCTCAAAATCATTTACATTTGCTGGCCTAAAATGACATGACATGTCATTTGCCACTTTTTCTATCTCCTTTGGAGTGAGTGACAGATTGCTGTTCAATTACTAGTATAATGGAAAAGCAGATATTGTGAGGGCAGCTTTCACCTAAAGGAAATGCAATTGCCAATTGCTGCAGTAGTGGAAAGAGAAGGATGGCAGATACTATAGAAGCCATCCAGTGGAAAAGACATTTTTATTATTAATAATGTCATGGGGAAGACTCAAGGGAAATGCACTGGGTCCGGCTTTGCTGCCTGGAGAAAAGGAAAGCCAGGGGTGAATAAAAAAGTAGTGCAAAACTGGCTTGCTACTCTTGTAAAATATATTTCCAGCTTTTTGCCTTGAGCATGTGCTACGTAAAGCCTTTCCGTTTGCTCAGCACCCATCTCCAATGGAGAGTAATAATTACAGAAAGACTTTTCATCAGTAGAAGACATCCTGAGAGTGAGAGGCTCATTAGAGGGGTCTTTAAAAAACAGAAAAAACTGTTTGTCAGATGCTTTGGGATTAGTCACTTCTCCACCCTATAGTTTGCTTTCTTATCTGTGTATTTGTACTCCACTTCCTCCTTTTCTCCTGAGATGAACAGATTCTCCAAGCCAAGCAGAGCTTAACCCTTCCTTCTGCAAGTCATTTACTTGAGGATCACTTGTCCACTTTTAATTTTTTAACGTTTCCTTTTCTCTAGTTCTAGCGAAGTCACTTGGCAGGCACAACACGTACTTTCAATATGCTGATCAAGATTAATTTTCATGTCATGATCCAGTCAGTCTGTTTGACTGGGTCAGAGTACAAGAGGTGAAGCTTCTGCTTAAATTCTTTTACATTTTTCTTTCTCAAGGAACAAAATGAAGTGTTAGATGGAAAATTTGTTGAGAATCCAATGTATAGGACTGTAATAATTGTTCTATTATACCAGTTTTAAACAGTGAATCTCCAGTGACATAGTGGACGTAGGCTTGACAAAACATAGTGGTGAATATGTGCTTTATCTGATAACCTGATGAACCAAACGATAATTTAAACTTTCTTTTGTAGTTTAAGTTTGCTCTGAGTAAGTGGCTTTAACAAGAGATGTAGTCCCTTGGCAATAAACATGAATGGATCCTTGAGATACCTGGATTTAGCCAAATAACTCATGGTTATCGTCATATTTGTTATGTAGATGTAGAAACAAGTGTCATCTGGACAAGGAGTTTTATATTATGAAGGCAGTGAGGTAATTGCTGAAATGATTTTTCGTGATGTATTAGTAGTTACCATTTATGCCTGACCTGCTTTTTCTGAATGTAAAGTCCTTCTGTGCAAAGCGAAACAAGTTGCACTTGGCCATAATGAAATCCTTTATTCTCTGGCACTGCTTGTTTTGCAGTGATGCAATATTCTCTTTGGATCTGACCTAATGGTAAAGATTTTTCAAGTGTCACTGCACTGTTGTGTTAGAGGATTGTCTTGAACGTACTGTTCCTTTCCACAGCTCCTGAGCTAGATGACTTTATCCCTTTGATGCAGCCTGGTGATGCAAAGGATGTTTTTCCCCTTATTTATTAATTGCTTCTGCAAAGCTTGCAAAGTCCCAAGTCCATGTTTTAAAAGAAAAGAGGGAGGGGGAGAGAAAAGTTTTTCTTCTAGTATAGCTAACTTCCTATTCTGCACGGACAGGCAGAATGCTGATCTTGAAAAGAGCACTTTTTGATTTCAAGGGGGGAGGGAAAAAACCCAGCTGGTTTTATCAAGCCATTTTGGTCATCCATGTAATGCAATTTTTTACAGGTTAGAGCTCACTAATGTGCTAAGAAATCACTCTAGCTAGTCATCCATTAAGACTGGTTAAAATTGGTACAGAGAGTTACCAAGCAGGCGGGAGGCTCGAGTCCCCGCTGATGGCCATCAGCCGCTTCCTGCCCACCTCTCCCCAATCAGGTGGGCTGTCAAACTCCTGCTCCATCTCCTCTGCTCCTGACAGCAGCTCCGTGCAGGGCTCTGGAAATTTTTTCAGGCAATTTCAGCCTGGAAATACTTCTCCACTAGTCCCATCTGCTGGATGCTGGGATGTATTGCCTGCTGGAAAGAAGGAGAGCGTCATACCTCATCCTTTAAATACTAGCCGAATGCGGCGTGCCACCAGATGTACATTAGCTTCTGAAAAACACGCGCTTTCTCTGTTTTTCTTCCATCCACCTAATTGCATTTGGGCTACTGCTGTTCTCTTCAACAGACTCCATGTGTTAAGTAAAAGCAAGGTGGCGGTGCGAGGAACTTTAACCGTGTTGCTTTAGACAAGCTGTAATCAGAAAAACCCAGGAGCCTGAAAAGATCACAGCAAAAAATATGTGTATCATTATCAAGCCATTTACAAGCCTGGGAATGAATTTCCTTTCTCCCAGTGTATATGCTCAGCAGTCAGTTTTTCAAATGCCTCATTAAGGCTGGTACTCAGCTGTTCTCCCCATCTATCTCACCATGCTGGAAAAGAGGGAGTAGAGCCATCGCATCCGATCCAACATGCTGCACTGCAGCCTCTAATGTTATTATGAAGCTAAAAGAGCCTTCTCCATCACTGAAAATACAGACCTCCTGATATATTTCTAATCAGGCCAAGCGAAGGTTAAGAGAGCTTGATCTCGTGTCCATAGATGTTCCCCAGGGTATTACTTTTCTCTGTGGTAGTTCCCTGTTTGGTACCTGCCTTCAGAAAGGGACCTGGAGGGAAGAAAATGGATAATGAATGCAAATGCAAAGTAGTGGAGAAAATTGGGAATGAATGTCAATGTAAAACGGGCAGAAATGCGTTCAGTCCTAGCAATCTTACTGGGGTTTATTTTGCTCTCTTCTTTGCAGTTGTTTGTGATGCATTTTTATACTTAATGCTAAGTGGCATTGTGCATTTTGCTTTAAAATAAGATTTGGCCAATTTTCCCCCTCCTATTCTTACCTTCCATAGGCGTTAAAGTAGGTTCTGCAGGTCAGAAACACAGCCACTTCAAGGATCTTGTGGAAATGTTACTGGTGGAAAACAGTCCTAGAAAAAAATCTTTATGAAATACATAGACTAAGATCAAGCAACAATTTCATCTATTGCAGACAGTGTTTAGGGAAACATACCTTTATTTGTTACACTGATATTTCCAGGGTGCCTATTGAAATAAAATCTTTAATCTAACGCCCCGTCCTCAGCTTGAAATGTGGAAATGTGACTGTTTTCAATGTAACTGGTTATGTTTGCAGGTTTTTTTCAGTTCCCCTTTATATCTCTCCCCTTTTATCACAGTGCCTTGCTGTAAATTAGCAGTTTGTGCTGAATTGGTTGCAATTAATATTGCTGCTGCTGTTACCAATAAAAAGATATATCATAAATAATTTTTATGTGTTTTCCTCAATAGGTGGTGACAGCACAGAGGAGAAGCAAAACACTGAAGAAACCGAGGCCCAGAGCCAAGAAGCAGGTTTGTGTTGAGTTCCTTAAAGGACTTACTTGGGTTTTATCCACCTTGGTGAACAATAACCTTAGTCAATGCTATTGACGAGGAATGTTTGTACATTTTCACCAGATTAGCTCAGGTCTTGAGCAATTCTCCCATTAGAGACCCAAACTCCATTCATTATGAATGATTGTATTGCAAGGCAGGAATGTTTTAGGAATGCAGACTTCCCTCTTTAGCTTACCAGCTTTGCAGTCTCCATTTAAGGTGGACTACCTCTAGCTAATCCTCTAACTAGAAATAAATAATTTTCCCTCTGTCTACAGCAGAATAGCTCTCTGCATAGAATAGAAGTCAAGGAAGAAGAAAATTTGGAGAAGGAGGAAGCAGGCTTCCTTTGCTGAAAATTGTACTTCTGAAGATTTTTAAAGGGTATTTTCAAGTTTTAATAAGTTGTCTACAGAATTCTCAGGGGTTATGAAGATTTAAATCCATACAGAAAGATACTGCATATACTGCAAAGGAATGTCAGAGTTCACAAGCAGTAGGTTTTGCAAATGGCATGCTTATAAATAATCATCAGTTCAGTATTTTAAAATACAATGTCTCTCCATGTTCACAATAGATTTTCTATTAGTTTTTCTGTTTGTGGTTGTATTTTTCATGCTACCCAACTCTGTTCAATGCAAAAGACAACTAGAATTAATTGGTTATCAAAAGAGCTGAGGTGACAATCAAAATGTCGTAGGATTTCTTTTTGCATAGTATTACATGTAACACAATGCTTTTCTTGTTTGTTTGTGGGGGTTTTTTTCCTTATAGTAGTGCAGGATGTTAATTACACATAATTCAGACAACATGAAACAGTTTTATTCAGGATTCTTTTTTTTTAATCAGACTTGAAGATTATTTTCAATATGTGGAAGATTGCACTGAAGAAGGCCAGCCAGTAAATGCAGGAGAAAAAAAAAAAAATAGGAGGCCTAGATTCTTGACTTACCTGGTTTGCTTTCTGCATTGTGGCTGCTCCTAGATGAGGGATTCATTTGATGATGGTCCTTTTTTTTTCCCCCCTATGGATTGGGCAGTGTATGGGTGGAAGTGCAGCATTTCTCCCTGCACTCCACAAGTCAGTTTTCTGCAAGTAGGTGTTAACAGCTAATGCTGTCCACAAGTGCTTGAAGTCCTTCTATATTTCATGTCCTCTTTATCACCTGCTCTTTATGTCCTTGCACAGGGCAAGCAGTGGGAGGCAAAGCTATAGGCACACAGTATTGCAGAATAAAAAAGATTCCCATGGCCCTCAGCAGGCTTTGGACATAGGCCCTTTATCCTGCCCAAGATAAGCATGGAGTGGTATTTTGTAAGTGCTGGAGGACAACCACGATTCCCTTCCTGGGTTTTTCACTTTTCTGTTAGTCATATTTTAAACAGGTGAAAGGGACAAGGAAAAGGGAGCAATGAGTTGCTCTGTCTGAATCCAGACTCTGTTTTGGATCTCTTACTAGGCAGGGGGATATCTTTGCCCGATCAATGTTGAGCTTTTAACTGTACCAAGTACTACTTGGCTGCTAGATTACCCAGTTAAACCCAGTTACACTACTCTCTGCAGATACCAAATATAGCCCGTTGTGCTTGTCAGCTGTGTTCACTCTGGTGGGGTCTGTATTTCCCTGGTATTTTGATTCACAAAACAGTTTGATTAAATGAGATACATTTCATTTCTCCCAAGAGAAGTAAGGAATATGTACCTCTCTAAATTATTACTTCGCTGCTGAAGGTGTCTTAAATGTATTGTGTTTTTCCCCAAACTGTCATTATGATTCGTTATGTTACGAGCTGTCAGAGTTGGTTTATCAGAACCATGATGTACATTCTTTTGCTATCTCGTATTGGTAGTCATGTTTTGTTACTCTCATGAAAAGCGTAAAAGAAAAGGTCCAGATGTTTTAGGTCCCAGATACAGACAATGTCATACTTTAGGAACGTGTTTTAGGTACATGCCTAAAGATAGTGTTGTGCCTACGCATAGTACATGAATAACTTCCTTGGCCACAGGCACACAGTGTTGGAGGAAAAAAAATCATTTGGCGTAACATTTATCCCTACTGGTTCACATAGCAGTAAGAACACAGAGGTGTACAACTACCTCGAGTTAGTTACATTCAGCTAATGAGTTGCTACTGCTTTCCGCTCTACTCATTGTGGAGACAGAACCATCGGAAACATTTAGGATTGCTGCTTCTCTGTCCTTTCTTGGCAGTAGGAAGTGATCTGATTTTCTAAGATACACAGTTGTACGCCTAAAACGTTTCTAATCACTATGAATGAACATTGTAAGAAGCAATCCCCCTTAAATGTTAAGGTTCTTATCTGTATTTTCTAAATGAAAAGGCATAACCTTAATCTGTGTGTGACAAATCACGAATCGTATACTTCAATATTGTGAAAGAAAATGTAGGAGAAAAAAAGAAACTGCATTCTTACCCAGTCCATTACATAAAGATTTATATATTCTTATTATATAGTAGATGAGAAAGACAGTTATAGTGTACAAAGAGTGGCCTGAAATTTTTCAACTATTACTATGTGGTTTTTTTAAAGCCTGGCCTCCAGTCTATCATCAGTGAACTTCACAGTTAACACGTGGGAAAACAAAATGACAGGTGGTTCAGAGCTCTTGTTTCAAGCTACTTAAAAATACTCGATGACTCTATTAGGAAAAAAAATTGTCAGCATCATCAGAGGCAAGTCTTTTGAAAGAAGTGAAAGGCTAGAAATGAAAACAATGGCTTATACAGGTTTTAGAACTATAAAACTTGCCAAGAAAAAGCAGCAGTGAAAGTTAAAAAAAAAATCTATTAAATTCAGGTACTAGTTTTATCTATTAACTACAATAGTTTTACCCACTTGCTCTACCATTAAAAAACTCCAAGTCACAGATTTTCAGGGACTTGCTAAATTTCAGGCCTGATTCATGAAAGCTTCTACTTTCAGGAAAACATTTGCATGTAGTCATTTTGATTCCAATGGGATTCATGGGTATGATTAAAGTTAAGAATGGCTTAATTGTTTTTTTTTTTTCTCACATTAGATGGATTAAATGAAAAATAAAGGAATCTCAAAGCAAATAGCAGCACCAGCCTACCCATGGAAACTGATAGCTGTTCCTCTCTCTATATTAGGAGAAATTGAAATATAGACTTGATCTGGCAGTATTGTAATGTAAGTTTACCCCTGGCTTAGGGAAGACAATCACACCAGTAATGGCTAGTGAATACAATGTGAGTGGATAGAAGCCCAGAAAATCAAATTCAGATCTAGTATCTTGCCTCAAAAAGGCATAACACTTTTTTTTTTTTTTTCTTCAGTAAAGTGGTTCATCAGTTTGCTCTCCTAATGAATAACTTCTCTTTCATTTCCTTGGTTCTTATAGATGAGACAAAACCTTCAGCTGTAGCCAGCCTATCATCATCAGAAGAAAGAGAGCTGAGTGAGGATAAAGGTACAGATTGTAAATTGCATTTCAAAATATCCAATCCCAAGAGGGCATTTTGTAAAGCCTTATTTTCTTTGTCTGCAAATTGCCAAAATCGCATTTAAACAATATAGAAATAGGTAAATGCTTGGATTTTTATTTACAGAAGTCTTTGTAATGAAGTACTTGGCACCAGCTGTTGTGCTGGTAGGAGAGATGCCGTGAATTCCTAAGTCCCCTTGTTATAGAGGTAATGCTAAAATATCATACATGACACATCAGAAATAAGCCCAAAGCTTGGGCTCGCTGGGTTGACTCACAGGCATGAAGTTAAGCATGCACATCTATCTCGGCAATATTAGCTCCCTATTTGGTGCTCTCCTGATGGGGAAAAAGAAAAACACAATAGCTATAAACACATCGAGAGGAGACAGGAGGAGATGAAGTCATAATTGAGAAGGTGAAAGTAATGTTTATCTTGTGCAGGCTGTGCTGGGCACTCAGATCATTTAGTTTGTGATAAATATTTAAAAGTGTCACAGGGCCAAATGACAGGGAGTTTAGGAAACAAGAAAGAGAGATTATCTAATTTAAATGTTTCAAGCTGAGATTTTTCCTGTGGAGTTGTTGGTTTACAGATAGGAACCAGTGCACAGACGTACTGTTTTTGATACTCTTACGATATCACGCTATTAATTGCTTGTGCCTGTCTGCAGTTTTTGGCATTTTTGTGGGGCTACGTCAGGAAAAAGCCTGGGTGATTTATAAAATGTTCGCTACTGGTAATTCAAAACAGGAGTTTTGCTATCTCTAATAAACACAGTCCATCAGTACAGCCTTCAAGAAAGACTAATAGAAAATGTTAATGCATTTTACTGAGATAACATAATTATTAACATCCATTAACTTATTTATTTTAAAAGATTTAATGTTTAATTCAGCGTCACTGCTTGACTCTCTTCTCATTTTTCTAGATAAGTGTGACGGGGTGTGAGATCTTGCCCTTTTGTTCCAAAGACACATGCTAGAGAGCCCACATACTTACCTGATTATGAGTTCAAAGCCCTGTGCAGGTTGATTTAAGTGCTCTCTTAACTGATTGATTGATCCTGCAGGGCAAAAAAAAAAAAAAACCACAAACCCTTGCTAGAGCGTTGGCTTTTGCTTTTGATGTCTTTTCAGATTAAAATCGTGGCAAGGCTAGTGGAAGGCAGAAAAAGTGATAGATTCAACCCCTGCGTAGTTGGTGATTGCCTGTCATTTATTTCTCTTGTTTTGCTGACATTTGGCCTGTTTAGGTACCCTGTATCTATAAGATCCCCCATCAGATGTGTTTTTTATATTTCATAATGTGAGGGTCACGGTAGGGTTTTGGGGTTGGATTTTTTTTAATTATTATTTTTTTTTTGTTTTGCTGCCTGCAGTCTTACTGAAGATCTCAACATTTTGATATCCCTTTGAGTGCTTGTCCCTGGCTATGAAGCCAATGTTTTCTGATACGGTTTTCAGTGACCATCTCAATGTGTAACCACTCCCATTTTTTGACCCATTGTATTAGTTATCCCTCCTCAGGAAAGTAGCCATCTTGGTGCTATAGATCTCATTTTTTCCTATAATATGCTAAGAATAAGAGTGCTTTCCCCTCTTCTCTTGAGAGGCTGACAGAAGAGATACTGCCATGAGAAATCCAAAGAGCAGTTTCTCTTTGATGTCCTTCCTCTCCTGAAAAGTAAGACAGAAAGCATCTGGTAGGGAAAAAGGAGCAAGACAGACTCTTCTCCATATATTTTGTTTGTAAAGTTGTTTAAGTAGAAAAAAGGAATGGTGGGGAAAGGAGCATGTTTTGAGATTTGCTTGCTAACCTTTAGAATTTTTAATTATGAGGTTGCCACATCCACCAGGCCATGGCTTTAATTCTTATTTCCATTAGTAGATTTTAAACTTTTTGAATTTTAGATTTTTGAGCTGTTTTAAAATTAATAAATACTAGTGTTACAAAAAACTTGCTACTGCTTGGGAAATGGCATTTTTACTAAATCTTGGCATTTCTGAAAACACCTGCTGCTCCCAAAATAAATTTCAGCCTTCAAATTGTTTGCCCACTGAGTTAACACAGCTAAAACCTGCCAGGTTCTGGAACATAATCATTTCTGTAGTTTATCTTCAACTAAATGAACTGGATGTAAAGCATTTAAAGAAATTCTGGTTTTTCAGTCTTTCCACCTAGTTACTGTGAAAGGACATTTATGGCAAATAAGTCTAGGCTGCATATTCCCAAAATGCATAGTCTAAACCACTCAGAATAGGAGGTTTCTAAGCCTACTGTGGAAGTATATTTCAAACATCAGTTCTGGTGAGTGCACCAAAACAAGTATTTTGACTCTAATTAGTGTTGACTAGTAGTTTTTCTGCTTATTTTTTCTTCATATTTCTGGGATTAGAATATAGCAAACACATTGAAATAGTTATTTATTGCTCTAAAATGTGGTAATATTCAAAACAGAGCACATGCATCTCTGCTACCGTGAAGTTCTAGTATTCTTTGTTTTACCTGATTTGTTTTTATCATTTTTTTTAAAGGGAAAGGGGAAGGATGGGAACAAGAAAGGGGATGTTTCACTATAAGCGCATGGAACAGTGCAGGAATCATGTTTTGAGGGGCTCCAATTAAAAGCTACTCTGAGATTTCAAATCTCTTATTAATGGGAAAGTATGTCACTTCTGTTATTCACAATAGAAGAGTCACTGTCCAGAAAAAAAAAAGTCCACATGGGCCCAGTTTGCATGTGGCCTTTGAGCAGACTGAATTTTTTGAGTGCTCTGTCTGTCCTCAGGAAAAACAAACAACAAAAAATAAAAAGCAGAACAGTCATAATCCAAGAATAGAAAGATGTTTGATGTTATGCTGTGGAGGTATCATCTTATTCCAGTCTGTGCCAAGTCTCTATTTCCACTGTCTGGAAATACCACAAAGAAATGTTGCAATTTTACCCTTGAAAACTTGCATGCATAACTATTAGCTCTTGGGGGGGAGAGCTGACATCTCTAGGCAGCACCTTCATGGCACTTCATTACTGTGCATATGGAAGTAGATCCTTTATACGCAGTGTATTTCAAGTTAGAGATGCTTCCCTTTATGAAGTGTAAGGGCAGAACGAAGTGATTAAAGCCATTAATGTTTATGCAGCAGATAAAACAACGTAGCAGGTTGCACTCAGTCTAGTCTGCCTGTCCACACAAGGTTGTGCTGGGACTACAAACCCATTTTAGATGTAGCTGTGGATTGGTTTGAACCTATGATTATTATTTTTTTTTTAAGAGTGTGTGCGCACATGCGTGTGTGTGTGTATGAGAGAGTGTTCTGCATCTTCCTCTCTGTCACCTCTCCTACCAATTACTATTTAACCTGACATAATGATAGGGCTTTCTGGCAGAAGAATGAAATAACCAACTGGATTTAGTACAGGTGAAGAATGAACTCCCCATTATGTAATCATGGCAAAGTTTCTGTGCACAATACGCTGATTTTAATTCATTAGCACTTAATAAGAACTGAATTTTCATTTGAAGGTCAACTAAATTAAATCATATGCTAATTGATTTTTAAAATAAAGTAAGGATTAATTATTTCCAGGTGTTCACCAAAGTCTGTGCTCCTGTGGGAGTGCCATTTAAAGCAAGTCACTATTTTTCTATATTCTCTGAAATGGAGTCAGATTGAGTCAGCTGGAGGCCTTATGTTGTCAGAAACAGAATTAGGTCCATGCCTTGGCTGTGAGTTAGCCCTAAAAACTCAGTCTGTGCAACCCAGAAGCCTGGTTGTATCCTGCCTGTAAAACATAATGGATATAAAATTCCTGTTTGGCCAGCTGTAGTTCTCACCATAGAAAAATCTCGATGCCCTAAAGACATCAGTGATTGAGAAGGGATAAACTGAAAGATAGAGCATTTCAAATGCAGGGGAGCTGAGCAAATTGACGTAAATTAGACATTGATAAGTGGGTGAAAAAGATTGACTGAAAGGCCAATATGTTCAAAAAGAGGTGTTAAAAATCAGCTCTTAAGTATATATTAAGACATCTAAATGAATGACCTGATTTTCAGAAGTGCTGAGCACTCAGCAGCTACCAATGAAATGTTTTTACTTCACCCTTGGGCTATGATTAGACCTGGAAAATTTCAGCCTGAAAAATTTCAATTATAGGTAACTGAAAAAGAACCTTTTTAATGGAAGAATTTCGACACCCCCAACCATAGCTGTAGCTCTGCATACCAGCTACAGCGATAACCTTTTCCTCTCCCTTGGTTAGAAGGGTTTCTATGAAATCAAATTGACAAACACAAGCTAAATGCTGTGGTTTGGGGCTTTTTTAAACCAGGTACGTAATCATCACTATCCAACCAAGTGCTTATTCTCCTACCATGAACCATAATGGTCACTTAGAGCTGTATGTACATAATGCAGGTTACTCACTTTTCCTTTTAATCTGGCCTGGCTGGAGCATTGTGCATCCTGACAGAGTCCAGCCCGTAAACTACTCGAGGTATTTCTGCTCTACCCTTCACCAGTACAGGCAGCCACAACAGCTGACACTAATCTACTTAGCTGGTTTATTTAAATCCTACTTATTTTTAAATATTAGCTGACCTGGAGCCATCCAGCTGCGCTCCCGTCAGTCCGATGGAAGCGCCTGCTCCTTCCATCTGTCCCCCTCAAACCTTACCTTCAGCTGTGTGGCATTTCTCCTGGGAAGGGTCTAACCGAGCCAGCCAGATTTTTCTCAGCTTTTTCCTTTCCCAGAGCCGTGTACAACCTCTTATGGCAGCAGCAGGGTGCACATGGTTATCAGACCAACTGCGCCTGAACTTTCTCTTCTGAACAGAAGGTGAGGTTAGAGGAGATGCCCTTCTGTCAGCTCGAAGCATGAGCAGGTGGGAGCATGACTTAGTGGACCCTACCTATGGAGAGGAACTGCCTGGTCTATTACCTGAACACTTGCAGAAAATATCTGTACAGGTTGTTGCACCTAAAAAGGTCTGTTGTACCAAGCCGTATAAACTTGGGCTCCAATAAATCTAATCTGTCATAAAGATAGATTAAAATGAAATCTTGGTGGATAGAAAAATAACATTTTAAAGTCAAAGCTCAAGAATATCTCCCTAACTTCTCATAAATCACCATTTTATAGTACTTCATTTTAACACATTTTCCTCGGTTTATGAGGCAAAAGAATACCCTAATCATGTGGCAGCCTCCATGCACACCATTACCTGTAATTTTAGACGCCTGCTTGATTTCTTTCACTCTGGAAATATTCCAATCATTTTTCACAGTATCATGCTTAAAAAAGAAAATGCACTGAACCTGTTTCTTTCATAATGACCAACTTTTTCCCTCTTTAATCTTCTTACAGCTCTCTAAAACATGGTGATTTATCTATGCTGTGTGCAGGACCCAGGTGTGTTGCACATTAGAAACGACTCAGTAAATAAGCCGTACAGAGAGTAGCTGGGGAAGTGAATTTTAAAAGATCATTAAAGCCACTTAACATTCAGATCTTACCATTTCTCCTCTTCCTTAGCATTTGCAAAATTTTGTTTGAGCAGTGTTGATTTATACAGTCAAAAAATTATGAACGGCATGGAAAAGCATGGGTGTTTGTGCAGTATTTAGACAAAACTGTCTGATTATTGGCAGGAAGGATAGGATTGATAGTTTATTGCAACATACACTGTTTTCTTGGAGCTGAATTCAACATGGAGTTGATATATTGGAACAGTGAATACACTTGGGGACTATTCCGACTGGCATACTTCAAGTCCAGGTGTTTTCTTTGCGGGTTGTTAAAGGTTGGGGCTAATTCTCAGGTGCATTCAACAACGTAGCCCCACGAGGTAGTTGTTTCAATACAACGAAGGGATGCAGAGCCAAGGGCTCCTGATATGGACATTGTCACTGCAGCCACCAAGGAAAAGCAGGCTTGAGGGAACTAAGGAACGCTCAGACTTCAATGAGCACTTCAGTGCTTCGTGTGCAGTAAACAAAAGTGGCCTATCTTTGGTTCATTTATGTCATTATAAGTCATGTTTGGTTCATTCATGTGTGATCAATGATGACATTAGGAACTGTGCTCCAGTGTAGTATCAGAAACACTGTTTTCAGTTCTGCCTGGAGGAACATTAACCCTTAGAGTCCACATTTGTGGTTACCCAAGGTAAATAGTGCCCAGTGTGTATTATCAAAAAAATAAGCATACTGTGCTGCGAAATAATATCCTGGCTTGGATTCTCTGGTACAACTTAACGGATAAGTAGCTATGTCAGGAGAAGACTAACACTGCTTTATACTGTTTAAAAAATCAGAGTTAGTTCCCTAGCCAATTAGAGATGAATGAAGGCTTTAGGGATGCCCAGAGCTTTTGTAGACCCTGGAATCATTTAGGACTATGATACTGGCTTACGCTCAGTTGCATAAGGCTCTAAAGGGCTAAGTGAGCACAGAGGAGCAGCTGAGCCTGAGGGATACCACTACCCTATTGGAAACTTACACGCAGAAAGTAGTGTATCATCAGCATTTGTGAGATTCCCACCGCTGCTTGCCAGCTGAAATGGAGGTGGCACTCTTGCCTTGTATCCAGTTTGGGAACAGGTTTTATTGACTGGTGCATTTGGTCTTACACTTCTACTTTTGCTTGGCTCAGATTTTCTTCATAAAACTGGGTTTATTCCTTTGCTTTATTTTATTCTTGTTAATCCTAAAAATAAATCTGTCTTTGGACCTCTTGGCTTGAATATTTGGTCTAATATTTGCATTTGAAAAGAAGAAATCTTTGACATGGTCTTGGTCTTAAAGATTTTGAAGCTCAGAATCTGCATACTAATGCAAAGACTGATTCCTACTGCTGAAATAAGAGCAGTGGACTCTTACAGCTAGGCAGTAATTCCTGAGTTCTCTTTTCAGAAACACGCTTTACAAAAAAATAACTTGTGCTAAATTATCGTTGCATATTGTCTGGGGTAATTTGGAATTCTGTGCAAATATTGCTTTCTTGAACCCTGGAACAGTTAGAAAACTGTTGATGATCAAAATGAAAGTTTAACACAAGATTACAATCCCCTAAGAATAAACTGTGCAAAACCAGCTATGGGAATGTGTGAGGATGAGCCAAATAGCATAGGTGAGCTCTGGCTGTGGTGCCTAATGCTGATGCTCAGTGAGGTTGGGGTCAGACTGCCAGCTGTGCCACAGTCTGGGAGCAGTGACGATTCCCCACACTGGCACATCTGTAGTTTGCCACAAGCTACTCGATGCTCCATGACAAACAGCAGTGTGATGGGGCACGTACATCTGCCAAACACCAGGCTCCTTAAACTCCATTTGTTATTATTGACCAAAGCACGTAATTGTGCTTCTGATGCTGGGGATTGATTTTTGCATGAAATTGGAGTCATTCCTCATTGTGGGAGAAAATGTGGCACCTGTGAACTGAGATTAAAGGCACAGGTCTGGGAGTATGAAGTACTGTGCATAGGTGCAGGAGAAGATGGCTCTAAGGGTCTGATGAGACAGAGCCACGTGCATCTCTCCCACCCATAGCAGGTCATATCACACTTTATCATCACTTTTGGCTGTTTGAAGGACTGTGCTCAGGGCCTGGCTGCACTGTACTTTAGACAGAGGACTCCTGATTCCAGCTTTGTTAGTACAGTTTCTTTTGCAAACATGCAACTAAATCAAACAGAAAAAGATTATATTAATTTAGGATACGCTTTGTAACTTCAGCAAAGCCAGAATTTCACTCAGTGGGTTGTAAGTTTGCTTGAAAAATTCCCTATAGATTTTTAGTGCCATTCCCATTTATACCAAGGGGCCTTTCAACTCACTTTTTGATTAAACTTGGAATTTAATGAAATTCTAATTTATTTTTGCTCTGATTTGGGCTGATAGGGTAATCCCTTGTAACTCATAGCACAATGTGGCATCCTAGTATGAAAGGCCAGCACAGTGGTCCAGCTGATAGCAGTGAGTAGTGTTTTAAGTCCGTAGTAGGGTGAAAAAAAGTGCAGCAAGGGCAGATTTTAGCAAATTGTACATCAGTGAGATATTCTGCTTTCAAATTTGGATTTATAAACTTATTGTCATGCCACGAAAGAAATAAGAAGCTGTGCAGGTAATTAAATATTTGCCTTGGGGGATTATTTGCAGTTAATTAAAGCCACACACTTTCAGTGCATACCTTTTCTACAGATTATTAAATTTGGATCAGATGTTAACAACCCAGCTTTCTCGCTTACCCATCAGAGATTATTCTTGGCAAGTTTCAGAAACTAAGAGTTTTACAGGGGCATCCTTTGGTGTTCTGTAAGATTTGCTCAGTTATATTGTAGACCTTCCAGAAGTAGAGCCGTAACAAGGCTGTCATAGTGTAATTTATTATCATGCACTGGAGATCTTTTGGCACTGTTACTTAAATTTTCCATCTAGCAGCATTTTAGAAAGTGTTTCACTCTGGGAAACAAATAGTGATTATCTGTTGCCGTTGTTAGGACCACAAGTGTATTTACCCCTGTAGTCTGCAGAAATGTCCAGTTGGATCAGCGGTGGTTTTTAACAAGGCTCAAAGAGAGCTCTTTACCCAGTGAGAGCTGTGTGTTATGCAGATGAGCAGAGCTGAAATGAGTGGCTTGTGTTGCTGTGATTTCCCGACTGCGGTGGAATGATACATTTCTCCATCCCCACACAAAAAAACTAAGGAGTGGATGTTGTCAGAAAACGTTGTTTAACACAACAGAACGACGCCCTGTGTTTATGAAGGCTGCTGATAGCATAGTGATTGGATTTAATAGCGTTTAATTTAAAACTCACGGTTCCAATGGTTCAAGGGTTCAATGCTTTGGGCAGTTCATTCTGTTGGTCTCCCCCAAAAGGAAAAGCAGTCTTGACCACAATAATGACCTTGGGAGTTCTGTCATCAAATAGAATGAGGCTAGGATTTGCACTGAGATTTATAGGACTTAATGTTTGTTAAGCTTGTGGAGTCCAACCATGAAAAGTACTAGCATTGTTCTAAATAAATAAGAAATCACTTTATTTATCAAGTAGGTGGTTCATGCTGTTTCTCATAGCTTTATGCCACTTTTTTTCATTAGAAATAAAATCCTCAGTAGCGCTGCTGATTATTCTTATGCATCCTTTCTTGCCAGCTCCTTGTTTAAGGTTTGTACTGCAGGCAAAAAACTGCTCAGTAAGTGTAGAGATTTTGAAATAAATTTGAATAATCGAAACCCGTGAGTATACTTTTGTAGTATATAAGTCTGTAGTTAAACAGATAGAAAATCTGTCAGCGTATCCAAATGCTAGATATTAAGTTAGCACCTAAGGGCTACCTGTGTCTGAAGTAACTACCAGACTTTTCCAGCATGAAAACTGCTGCAGGATTTGTTTGTTTATTTGTTTGCTGTTTCCTCAGACTCCCTGAAAGACTCCAAAGGCGCACGGGAGGGTGACCCAGTGCATCCTGTGGAATGTGAACAAGATCAAGCCGAAGGTAAAATTTTGTATCAAAATTCTTTAAAACAGAGATAATGAATCAGTTGGGAACCTTTGTTCTCCCAGTTTCAGCATCCAGTGGTTTTCAGCCTGACCTCTGCTGCCTTAAGAAAATGCTGTGGGCTAGTAGAGGTTGTGTGCCAACCAGTGGTGGTGCGGTAATCTCTGGTGTTGCTGGAAAAGACACACATCTCCAAATATGTGGATTTAACCACATTGATCCTTGGTGCATAGCATTGTTATTATTGTCCTTCTTGTTGTTATTGTTGTTCTAAAAGCCCGTGGGGCAATTCTGTTCCTTCTGCTAAGTCGACTGTCAAGTGTGAGCACTTTACAATACCTCCAATGAGAAACAGCCTGTCAAGGCTGAGCTACAAAAGAAGAGAAAAAAAAAATGTATTCAGGGTCAGTTTTGACCAGCCATTTAACATACTTAATGCTTAGAGTTTAAGTGGTATTTTCATATATAAAATAATTCCAACGTTGTTCATTTCATAGAAAAAAAGCAGTACTTGTCTGAAAAGGACCGTGCTATACGTTAGGTTCGTGTCCTGTTTTGACGAACTTGCCGTTGCCTGCACGCAGCCATTGTGCTGATGTCATTTTCAATTTGTCATGTTAACAGGACAACAGGATGTTTCTGCAGAGGAAGAGGTGAAAACTGGGGCAGATTCCCAAAGCTCCTGCATGGAAATAGAAGGTACTGCACATGCCTTGAAACCAAAGAGCAAGATTAAGAGGCAAACCCACTAGTTAGTGCTTAGATATTATCATTAGTGTTTAAGTTCCTTTTCTGTCTCCATACCTCCTAAGCTAAATCTGTGGAGCCAGATCTTCTTATGCTAACTCTAAATTCAACCCTGAGCAGGGGAGTATCTATGGATTCTTGGTGGTAAAAGCTGACTTCTTAATGACTGTGACTGTTAGAGAA